GAAACTCCTAAATAAACCACAACATGTTACACATGTTAATAGATTTTAAAGTTGCCACAAAAAATAATGCAATGTTATGCAATGTTTCAGGTGAAAGATCCACTCGAATCTTGAATTTCTCTCAGAGAGGCCAGAGAAAAGAGCGCCAACAGCGGAGAAAGTCTTGCTGGAAGAGATTCAAGTTTTCTACATGGGTGAGTTTGTCCTAAAATATAAAATAAAATGTGTCTGATGATTAGCAGTGGAAGTGTTACAATTATCAAATGAGCCACGAGTTGAACTGAGTTTGAGTTCATATGATAAGAATGAGAGCATTCTTTTACTACATTTATTTAACCGTCAAACAAACGCAGATATAACCACTAAAGTCTCATATGTTTGAAGCACTGACTTATCACCTGTATTATTCCCCTTTCAAGTTTTGTATTAAATTCTAAAATAGACGGATAGCCAAGATCTTTAAGGGCAACCATGAATCACAACAATCAACGTAAGATAATGGACTGTTTCCTGGGTCTGAGATGGAAAAGGAAAGCTTTTAATATGAACTCTGCCCTTCTGTGTTCAAGTTGTGTTCTATAAACAAATCTGGGACCTGATTTATTCTGTTTGCTTCCTCAGAAACTTCTCCACTCTCACAACATGAGTTGATTGTGTTTATTGAAGGTCAGGCCTGTCTTTTAAAACTGAGCGAAATATAATACTTTGAAGGACACTTCAACAAAGCAGCCTTTTATTATGATTGAGCGTTTGGAGTGCAACCTCCTCCAGCTGCTACCTTGGATCAAATATTGAACTCTTTATTCTCTCTCCAGCCTGAAGTCTCATTTTAAATGTTTTCTCTTCTTTACCACATTTAAATTCTGACTCGATACACAGCCGCCCCGAGGCCAGCTATTGACACGGTGAAAAACAAGGGTCTCCTCCATCTTATTTACCGCTTTACTCAACCTTGCTTTACTGCAAGCCAACCAATTTGCTGTCCGTCCTCTCAGTTAGCTGTAAAGGTTTCTTGATTGTCAGCGCTTTTAACGCTTTAAACACAGCAGGGAAGTTCAGGGCAAGAAGTCAGTAAAACAAATTATCCTTATGGGAAATTAAGGGGGGATGTAATGATGAGAGGCACGCACAATAACCCATTTGAATGCACCGAAAAGTGCTGACATTTTACGAGAAATTAGGAAAAGCATTGTTAAATCCTCGGTGTTCCTGTGTGAGGCTTGTTTATGTTGGCAGAGGAGCTTCCTTATCACTCTCACACCCAACAGAGATACATCCTCAGCCCCCGGGCCGGCGCCTGCTTTCATCCATCAGAATTGCATTGACACTGCATGGCACAAAGTCAAACAGTGTCCTCTCTGTGAATGAATTGGCATGGGAACCTGCGAGATGAGATAGCATCTAAGGAATGCTAATTCACCGGGAGTCTGGGTCTGGAGATGTCGTGATTAAAGACTCAATTTCCCAGAGGTCAGTGTGGTGTGATCACATATTACCGCTAACTGATGGAGTGTCTCTGACATCTGCACCCTGACGGCGCGGCTGTCACGAGCGGCAGCATCAACACCTGTTGACACGGAATACACTCCAGCACCGGATTAAATATTCCTGTCAAGGATTCACTCAGTCACAGAGTTTTGAGTAGCTGTTTTATGCTATCAAGCTGCTTATTCATGGTTTGGTTTATGTAAGGGGAAAAGGAGTCTGGGAGAGGCCTACAGCAGCTCCCAGCTAGGAACTGCTAAGCCCTGAAATGCTGCCATCCAGCATTATCTTCACAAAGCAGGCATTATCCCAACATGTTCCTCGGTGGAAGGCTTTTCACAGCAGCAGGTTTTAACGTGGTTCTGCTTTGCTTTGCTGCTAGAGTAATACTGACAGCGCTTTTCTGTTTTATTACAAGCATATCATCTTGTTATTTCAACGACTGACTGACAGCTAGAAAAATACATACCATACCAGTGATTTTTGTGTCTATTAAAAGCAAATTGAACATAGTTTTTCAAAGCATGTTATTCATTTTTATGCGGATGCCCTTCCAAGCAGCATGTGATTTGTATTCATTTCAGCTCAGTGCTGAGAATGAAACAAGCTTGGGATATGTAATCCATCACAGTGACCGTTGCCGCGCCCTTGTTTTTCCATCAGCGTTATTCTATCATCATGCGGTTGAAAGCATTTTATCTCATTTACTGGTGGATCCTATAAAGCTCTGCATCTAAAGCATTAGGGTTTATGACTCAATAAATCAATCAATATACGAATGAATACTACTGTTAAACAACTCAGATGGAAGTTAAGGAAATGTAATCAGTTTCCTCTACCTTTATAAAAGAAATGATGGTTTAAAGCCATCAGATAGCTCAGATGAAAACACATTTAAGATGTGTTTATCTCCTGATTATATGAGTCATAAAACTACACCAGCCAGGGCAGGTGATGCAAGTCATCCATACACTGCTGTATCATCATTGTATTATAATAACACTACATTGCATCCTGTTTAGCTGCCGCTTTTATTCAAAAATACAAGAATGAACCATGCACTGACCCTTTGATTAGTAGCGGATACCCCAAGCTACACAGCTAGTTAAAAATGCTAATGCTGAATGGGAAGTCTTAAAATAAGGTGTAGCCTTTTAAAATGTTTCATGTGTCAATGTTCTGTTATTGTAAGTCTTCTGACTCTGTTCAGAAGTGTCATTGAATGCCCCACAGCCGGCTACTGTCGGCATTGAAAGACTGATTGCAACTCTCTTGTTGCACCTGTTAAGGCGGGAAAAACCGGTCGATCTTATTGGTCCATTGATTTCAGAGGCCTCAATTTATCACCAGCATAGCTCCGCCCACCTCCAACCTTGGGTCTAATTAGCTTTACTGGAAACACCTGTGTGGTGTGTAAAAATACACTAAAACCAATAACAGATAAACTATAGTTGGCTTACATGACCACAGGCAGGCTGTAAACATGACTGATGATATCTGACTTTACAACATGGTAAAATGGTAAAATAAACCTACCAAAAGAGCAATCTGTATTTCAGACATTGGATGCGTTCCAATACCGACACTATTTGCAATAGACAAGTGCCCACTTGAGAGAAGTAAATGCAAACAGTGCCCAGGTGCTTGTTAAAACAAATGAAAGCTTACTGAGAAGTGCTTCATTAATGAGGCCATTCTATATTTCACACAAATATGGCTCAGTCGGGCTCAGACAGTCTGATGGTTTTATTTCATTCACAAACAATACAAAAACATTGAAAACTGACTTCATTTGACATTGTGGGAAATACATATTCACTTTTTTTGCTGACAGTTGGATTGAAAGATAGATAAAACTAGCAGGTCATTAGCTTAGCTTAAAGACTGGAATCAGGCGGAAGAAGATGGCACTGTTCAACGTAGCATCTCTAAAAACTAAATACTATTACTGTGGATACGTGCTGTAGCCGGAACAGTGAGCTTTAAAGGTGCTGGTAAATAAATGATGTGTATCCCTGAGACAGCGACTGTCTAGCTGTTTCCCCATGATTCCCCTCTGTTCGATAACTAGTGGCTTGAACTAGTGTTGTGACAGCAGATTTGCAAGCTTTTTAAAAACCCTTGATCATTTCAAAGATATGTTAATATATTTGTGCTGTTAATGAAGCCTAGTCTGAACTGAAAGCTAATCTTTTTAATGTGTGCAAATGTATAAGGCTTCTGTCAAAGGGATGTGTGTCCTGGGTGTTAATTAAAACCGTAGCCCTTCTGATGAAAATGAATATAAATATACATTAATCCTTTATTAAGGTCCCATATGTTATATTTTGTGTATTTCTTAATGCTTGAAAGTATGTCTTTCGTCCAAAAACTATTCATGACATGTTATATTAAATATTTAATTATTTGTATCACTCTCAGCAAAAAGAGTAGATGTCTTTATTTCAGTAATAGTACAGTGAAGGATATCCATCAGTAGAGGTATAACTGTGTTGTCTTTGGCTTGAAATATATAAATAATATTCCAGCTAAATTAATTATTGATATAATTCATAATGCAACTCTATTAATATTGGTCATGAATCCAACTATATAGACACAAACCAAAGGACTGGTTTGGTGCAGTATACTGTGGGGAATTCTACAAATGTAATAGAAACAATTGCCAACATAGCAGGACAACATCGTCTTAAAATACTCCAAAATAGGGTTTGAGATTCATAAAATTGCTGTACACATAACAGAATCCCATCCCAAAAATAAATACTTCATTCCTTCCTTACATGTTCCCTGTCGGCCATAACACTGCTCCTAACATTTGTTTCTCTTTAGCCGATTGTCGACCGTTTCCCTGAGCAGTTAGCTGATTGGTGCTCCCGTGGTAACCAGCTTGTAGTAGGCTCCCTTCAGGGCCATGAGCTGGTCGTGCGCCCCCTTCTCGATCACGTAGCCCCGGGACATGACGGCGATGATGTCAGAGTTCTGGATGGTGGAGAGGCGATGTGCGATGACGATGCAGGTCCGACCTTCTCTGGCTTTGTCCAGCGCCTCTTGCACTGTCTGTCACGAAAACACAAACACGAGGCAGACTTCAGGCTCCCTGAGAGGCAGCAGACACCCTCCGTTTCCCCACACAGCAGAACCTCACAATTATAGCAATTTCACAATCATGCGTTGATTACTATCATTAAACTGTTCCAGAATATCAGCGTGCTGCAGAGGCCTCTTTGCTCCCCAGCATGCAGCAGCCATTTGAGCTAGAAAAGAAACGGAGCAGCCCCACAGACATCTTAACCGGAGGGCTGCTGTGAACTGTGAGCTGCGGGTGATAATAATAGAGAGGATGGATGATAATGATGTTAATGATAATAATAATTAAGTGTGTGCCCTGTGTGTTCTCTGAGCCTGAAGACTATCAAGCAGCTGCACTGTAGCATAGTGTGGATTGCACACATCGTGGTGCTCAGGGTGTAATGAAGCATACCTTCTCGCTCTCCGTATCCAGGGCAGAGGTGGCCTCGTCCAGCAGCAGGATCTTCGGGTCCCGTATGATCGCCCGGGCGATGGCGATGCGCTGCTTCTGACCGCGAGACAGCTGAGATCCCTGGGCTCCGACGTTTGTCTGGTATTTCTGAGGCCGGATGGAATAATATGGTGAGTCATATCCCCGTCTAATTGGTCTTTCTATTATTATTTTCCCATGCAAGTTCATACACAATCTACAATTTGATAAACAAAACATTTCTGTGAATATGATATGAATATAGCCTCTAAAATTGTCTAGCTTCCCCTAGGCCCTTTATGAAAGGAGCATTTTACAACTTACACTCAGACTTCATCACCTTTCCCTGTCACCTTGAACTGTTCACACTAAACATCCCGAGGCTGGTTGTAGCATGCCTAAAGGCCAAGTGAAGAAACTCGACACTCACTTCAACACCTAAAATACTCGACAAACAAGATCCTCACAAAATAATCTAATGGAACTTTATGAAGAACATTTACTTATATTTAAATAAAGACAAAAGACCATAAGGGGATTTACCATTAAAACTCCTAAGTAATTGTGTGGTCCTTAAATACGTCACTACCATACGGCAATACTCTGAAGACAATCCACTACAAATGTATTACATTTACAAAAATCAGAACTGTATGAACACTTAGCAAAGTCGCCCAGATCAGAACTGAATGTACCCGTTTCCATGTGATTTGTTCCTGAATCACAAATGCCTGCTGTGTGAGCCTGTGACCTGTTTACAATCAGTCAGCTGCTGCTGCTAATGAGCCTCGTTGCATTTTGGGAAAATACAATAATGAAAACCTTTTTAACAAGCTCCTGGTCAATCGCGAGTGCAGTCATTATGACAACTAATTGTTTCCAAAATGACTTTCTGCAGTCTTGATGAACTTGAAATATCCGAGCTGTCAGTTGAATTATCCGTCAAAAAAGGAAAAAAATGAATTATTTTAAATGCATTTCTAGAAACCCCATATTTGAACTCCTTCAAAATGTCACAGCCACAGCATTAAAACATCCTTTAACCCATAGACAAATCTGGAGACAGACGTAACTAAGCCATCATAACATTCATTTTGCAGATCAAGTTCTGCTTCGTGAAAATAGCTTAAGAGGAATCTATTAGCTGAAACATGTAGTGGCATTAAGGAGGACACTTGCTGCTCATTCACACATCACCCACACATGTCCCTCCTCAGCACCAGAGTATTTAAATACCAGCCTCTCTCACACCGCCATGTGCCACTTCATCTGTTCTGATCATGAGCTGTGCATGTGTGCCAACCTGTTTCCTGAACACAGACAGATAAACCTCATGATACCCTCCCATGGTCCAAACATTCCCGCACACAATGCCCACAGTACCTCAGGAAGCGCCATGACGAAGCTGTGGAGCTGGGCTTTCTTGGAGGCAGAGATGACCTCGTTCATGCTGATTTCCCGCGAGTTGTCGCCGTACTTGATGTTCTCTTCGATGCTGCAGTCGAACAGGATGGGCTCCTGGGACACGATGCCAATCTTAGAGCGCAGGAAGGGCACGCTGACACCCGTCGAGTCATGGCCATCTATCAGCTGCGGGAAGCCATTGATTTTACCATGAGGAGAAAGCAATATAATAACCAAAAGCTGGAAATACAATCCACTTAATGAGCCATCATTACACCATCTCTACTGTGATTGCTCTACTCGCTACCTAGAGGTAATTATGTCCTCCTCAAACATCAGGACCCACGTTTCCAAACCACTTCCAACTAAATTAAGCCAGTTGAATCTTGGCAGGGATCCGTACTAGCACAAAGACAAACCTCCATCTTTTTGTTATTTTAACCAGCACAAAGTCAGGATACAAGATCAAATGAATAGAAGTCAGATATACTTCCCTGAATGTTAAGCAATCCTTCTTTGACATTGAAAAATGTCAGATCTTTACCTCCCAGCGACACTCAAATAAACCTCATGAGTGTAAATAATTGAAAGCAGACTATACATGACTTATTAATCTCACAATGAGAGATCTGACATTTTGATAAAGGTCAGCATCTGCTGTGACAATATAATGTGTCAGACCTTTTGTTTGTACTTTCCATGTTGAAAAAGGCTAAGTATTCCCCAGTATCCTGTGCAGGGCCTCTTGGGGCAGAAGAAGTTAAAACGCAACACTGACACTATTATCTCCTTATAAAGCTAATGTAGCTATTGTGGCTAATATAGCTAATGTGGCAGTTGTCTATTTACCCATTCAGAAGATGTGTTGCAACATTAGCATTCATTTAGGGTTCCGTTTGAATTAACTTGACAAATTGAAGTCCAATATCCACTCCCTTTTAGCTGGAATGTTGCTCAGTATCAGTTGGGAAATCTAATGAAAAGTCAACTCATCAATGTCATTATAGAAAAGTCAATACAATTTGCATGCCTCCTGATGCAATTAAAAAAATTAACTACCCTGTATGTATTTAATTGATTAGTTAAATAATATTGTATCTGGATGAGTTGGAGCTCATTTGAATTACTGTTGGCTTGTTAAATTAGGAAAATTAACCAGATATTATAGGCTGAAGAATAAATGTAGTGGTGTAATGTTCTATATGTTGTGAAGTAGGAGTATCTCAGATTGTCCAGTTAGAATAAAGCTATTCATAGTCCACTGACAGTATATACAGTATGCCTCGCCGTGCCCTCACCACTCGGCCGTGGTCCGGGTCGTAGAACCTCTCCAGCAGCTGGACGCTGGTGCTCTTCCCACAGCCGCTGCTGCCCACGAAGGCCAGCGTCTGGCCCGGCTTCACCGACACATTCAGCCCATTCAGGACCTGAATGTCTGGCCTGGTGGGGTAGGTGAACTTACAGTCAATGAACTCAATGTTCCCCTGGAAGTTATCCTGAAAACACAGCAGGGGGGGGGGGGGGAGAACAGGAAAAAGAGAGCAAAGGTTAGGGTAGGTTTCTCTGTGTGTTAGGGTGCCATCTCCTGTTCGCAAAAGGCAGATAACACTCCCAATGTATTGAAATTAATTGAATTATTAAAAATGTTTATTCAATATTCCTAACAAGTACTGGTACCGGAATTTTGAGGAAACCTTTTTTTCTTTATATATATTATATGTGATAAAAGGACCTACAATCCATACTTGTCTTTTCACACGTTTTTAATGACTGATGTAAAATGAATAGGCAAAGCAATAAAAGAATAATAAATTAGACTTTTCACCACAGAAGAGCAATCATTTCTTTATATACTCAGCGTGCAATGTGTCAGAACAGCACATACACGAAGCATAACATATGCCCTCATACCCATTTATCTCCCTTATCGCTGTAGACGCTGATCTGAGGCACGCGGTCCAGCAGCTGGAAGAAACGAGCCGCTGAGATCTTGGCCTTGGCGTAGTCCGGTGTGTAAGACGAGGCTCGACCGAGGGCTGTGCCACTGGTGACGATGGCTGAGATGACCCTGACCAAGAAACCAACACAATGTAAGTTATCGATTCATATTTGTGTACATCCACAAGATCGTTCTCCTGGAACAATGGATTTTTGTTCAGCACGCCTTAGCGTATTTCTGTAAGAAAATGTGTTCCCAACTGGGCAAATTGAGAACAACTCAGAATCCACTATCAATGTATAGTTTAAACACTTTGAGAAATATTAAGTGTCCATGCTGTCCACATTACGATCTCACACTCTTGAACATACCAAAGGAAAATCAACTCCCTAACGTGGAGAATGGAACCATACAAGAAGCATGTGAAGAGTTCTGTCCTCTCCAAGTACTCTACTTATTCTTAATAAATGAATGTTTCAGTAATAGCTATTTCTGTATTTACATTTTGTAGTTGCCTCTTCATAGTCGTTTTTGTAAATCCCAGTGAATACCAGGGAAGCTTTCTCCTCTCACCTGAACACCAAGCTGAAATGGAGCCCCTCCTGTCGCACCAAGTAACCTCCGAACCTATAGGAGGCGGAGTTGGTTAGGAACACGACGCACTGTGAGAAGCCGTAGCAGGCTCCGTACACCTTGGCTTTCTTCAGGGCCGCTTCGTACGGAGCGTGTAGCTGCGCCGCGTACAGCTCCACAAAAGTACTCTCTTTCCCCAGGCCGGCGATGGTGCGGATGTTGTTCAATGCCTCGCCGGAAATCTGCACATTTAGAACTGGGATTGAATAGTATGCAAAAAAACAGGCATAGAGAAACTGTTCCTAATTCTTATGTGTTTTTAATGTGTGAAGGGGATATAGATAACACATTAACACCTATCCTTATCTACATACTATTTAATGCTGACACAGCAAACTCATTTCCCCCGATAGGGATCATTAAACTTTAATCTAATCCACTTTATTCGGATGCTTTGATTTTACTGCATCGATATGAGAAGGTATAAAAGAAGTTCACAGCAAATTGATGTTGCCTTTAATTGTGAACTTCCTTGCTCTGGCTTTATTTTGCTTACGGTTTTATCCGCTGTGTTGTGTGTACCATGAGAGGATTTTAAACCTGGGTGGCCACAGTAGATATTCAGTCTGACAGTGCTAGCTCCCTCCAAGCCTAACCTCACAATTTCAAGGATCTGACCTCATCTGCTGGGATGTAGATCTACTCCTAAAAAACTGAAACCGTGAGCATAAAATAGACATTGTTGTTAAGCTGCCTCTTATCTGCTGTCAGTAGCTGCTGTGACTCCACCTGAAAGCTTATCAGGAATATTAAGATGATGCCTTCGACAAGTCCATAAATATCAGAATCCTGGACGCTGATAAATTCCCAAAAGACGGGTGAAAATAGCTTTGTCGCAGTCTGAAGTCTGACCTGTCCGGCGATCTCCATCGCCTGCTTGTCCTGCTTGGCGAACACCGTTAGCATCCTAGCCTGGAATGCCCCTGACAGGGCGATGAAGGGCAGGAAGCACAGGATGAGCATCGTGAGCTTCCAGCTGAAGTAGAAGGACATGAGGATGGCCACGCCAATGTTTGTCAGAGAGTTCACGATCATGCCGATCTGCGAGCCTGTGGCCTTCGAGGAGAAGTGGAAAAGAAGCATAATTTTACCGTACAATGTGATGATTCTCTCTTTTCTAAATCCATTTATACTGAGTCTTTAACTCACTCCTTGAACTTGAGAGGCATCAGTGGCAAGGCGCGTGGTCAGAGCTCCGGGGCTGTTCTTGTGATCATCAAACCAGCCCACCTCTTGACCCAGCATGGCTTGGAAGCCCAGACGACGTAGCCTGCGGGTCAGCAGCTCTCCAGACTTGGAGAAAGCATAGGCCTGGACACGCACAAACACACAAACAGGAAGATATGAAATCCCAGAACTATGATCTTCAGCATAATGTCATATTACATATCTGCCATCCCTCTAATCCATGGGTGTGATGGATCAATCATGGACTCTGCAGGGAGTAGGACAACCTTTTTAAGCCAGATAAGGTATTCATTTGACACAATACAACAGATCTTTTGTGACTTTCCCTCAACCTTGAACACACTGGGGGTGAAAGCAGTGGGAGCACTAAAGTAAATCAGTCTTTCAGAAGCAGACTGCTACTCTACCTGCAGTATCTGGGTGAAGAAAGAGACCACGCCGACCATGACAAAGAATACACAGATACCATTGATCTCCTTTCTCTGAGCCACAGTATCCGTCAGGGAGAATGTCTGCGCGCACACACACACACACACACATACACACACACACACACACACACACACACACACACACACACGAGTAAAAAGACATGTTAGACAAAGACACTTTTTTTTGTTGTAGAAAAACCTGTAAAGGTTCAGTGTAAAGGCCAGTTGCACTCGTTTTAGACAGGTTCCAAACTAAATCAGTTAAATTAAGTCATCATTGCAAGTTCAATTACAACTTTTAGACCCTAATTATTTAAATAAGGTTTATAAAAGTGTGTGTAGGCTACTGGGTGGTTGATTTAGCTGATTTACAGACATCTCTTTCCCAATGTAAGTGAATGGGAATAGGAGTGGGAGTATTTTAGGCTGAAATGACGTCACGGAAATACACAGAACGAGGCAGATCTGGTGTTCTGTCATTACATTTTTGGGGAATTGGCTTGATTTTTGTATTTTAGAAATCCTGAAACAACTTAAGCCTCACCGCCAGGATTTGACTGAACAGGAGAGAGTACACCGGGTTCACTCCTCCGTTTATGGCAGCCCCAAAGGATCCAAAAAGCATATAAGGCCACTCGGGTGCGTTGTACTTCAGGATCCTGGCAACAGGAGCAGGCTCCACAAATTCCTCCTCCTCTTCTGCGATGTCCTCCTGAGCACAGACAAATGCACACCAGCAGGCAGCCAAATAAATACTACTATTCTGAGGGTAGATACAGACAAAAAGCAAATGGCAGAAACATTTCAAACAACAAGTGTTGCACTCCAACGGTATGTCATTATGTTTGACCTGCTCGAACCACCCACATGTAAAATTGGATGCAAACACTCCTACACACACACACACACCTTGGATTTGTCTGGCTGTGACACAGCGTAGGCTCTGGGGCCAAGCTCTCCAGCGATGGAAACGGAAGACTCTGGGATCAGATTGGACAGCTGCGATCGAGAACGCTGGCGGATAGAGGCTCTGTACAAAGCAAAATACCTATCTTCAGCCATCATTTCTATACACATGAATATTCACAGGGATACATTGCTGCTTGTTGTTCTGCTTTCTCTAAATACCGGGTGCTCATAACTCTGCTGTGGTAAGTGGCTAGTTGTCATGATAATAGCTAAATGCTGCAATTGTCCAAGGAAGAGGATAATTAAGTAAATGAAGGTGTCAGTTTCTGCCATGACAAACCTCATTTTCCGCCTTAAATGACTAGTGTAATAATCCTATTTAGATGCACAGTCACGACCATGGAAGTGGATATTACAGTGTAGAGCATGATGGGAATGAATAATACCTCAAGCTGGCCCGGTAGCTGCCTGCTCTGGACAGATTCAGCTTCTCTGGTACTTCATCCTCGACAACCACTAATGTAAGAGATCCAACAAAGGGTGATCACAATCAGGAGATCCTTTTTGTTTTAAAAAAAAAAATCTTTCTGGACCTACTTTGTCGAGCCTTCTCATTCAGAGCCTTGTCCCCTTGGCTCTGCAGGGTGACCAGAGTGAAGTAGATCCCCTTCCTCTCCAGCAGCTCATTGTGTTTGCCACTCTCCACAGCCCGGCCGTGCTCAAAGCCCACGATCACATCAGCGTTCTTTATGGTGGACAGCCGGTGAGCGATGGTGATGGTGGTGCGACCCGTACGTACCTGAGATCAAATCCAACATATTTCAATCTGTTTAATAGTCCAGATTTTTGCCGGAGATAATCTGATTGTGATAAAGAGTAGGACCTCTACCTTTTAACCCCAAAATGGTCAATTATTATTGTTTGAAATGTGGCTGTATTTTGTTATGCAAAATGACCTTGTCTATCCATTCCTGTATTTTGAAGGATGTTCACAATGTGGTCGGTTTACACATGGTTTGTGCTTTGATAAGCTCAAGCTTATATGAAGAGTTTTTTTTCAACTGTGCCTTGTAAGTCTGACAATGCTACAGCAGTGCTAAATCAGTAAATGGTGTTATTGGCTCATATTTTTGGAACATTCTCTAAGAAGTATAAACCTTAATTTCATTCAAACCAGAGATGAAACCTGAAGCTAATCGAGTAGAACTTGACTTACTTTATCCAAAGCTTCTTGAACTGTAGCCTCGCTCTCGTTGTCGAGGGCAGAGGTTGCCATGTCCAGCAGCAGGATCCGAGGCTTCCTGACCAGAGCTCGAGCGATGGCAATACGCTGCTTCTGACCGCCGCTCATCTGACCTCCACCCGCTCCGACCAAGGTGTCAAATTTCTGCCAGATTGTAAAAAGTGAAACTTGTCAGGCGGACATTTTAAAAACTTTTTAGTGAAAGTATTTGTATGAGATCATGTGAGAACCTGTGGCAGGTCCATGATGAAGTTGTATGCGTTGGCCTGTTTGGCAGCACCGATGACGTCCTCCATGGGGACGTCGGGCCGGCCGTAGCGTATGTTCTCTGCGATGGTAGTGGCGAACAGCACGGGCTCCTGCTCCACGATGCCGATCAGCGAGCGCAGCCATTGGATGTTCAGCCCTCTAATGTCATGCCCGTCCAGGGTCACCTGAGGTGGAGGGCACAGAGAGCTGATATTGCTAAAAAATTGATGGATGGAGTTATTAAAGCTGCTATAATGTGTTTTTTGCCACAATGCTACTCCCAAATGAAGGTCTAAGCATAACCTTTGTGGTACTGTAAATGGCTTTTTACTCCTCTAAAATCTGTAAGGAGTAGGGTGTGCAAAGACCTTTTCTAGTAAAAGTGAAAAATGAGGCTGTTAGGATCCATTGGCTGAATAATGGAACAGAATATCATGTTCTTCTATTACCCTCAGGGGGTGGTTATTTTTGAATGGACTAGAATAACACTTAAAAGGAAGGAGCTTGTGTGTGTGTGTGTGTGGTGTGTGTGTGTGTGTGTGTGTGTGTGTGTGTGTGTGTGTGTGTGTGTGTGTGTGTGTGTGTGTGTGTGTGTGTGATGTGTGTGTGTGTGTGTGTGTGTGTGTGTGTGTGTGTGTGTGTGTGTGTGTGTGTGTGTGTGTGTGTGTGTGTGTGTGTGTGTGTGTGTGTGTGTGTGTGTGTGTGTGTGTGATGACAAAAGCACTGATAGAAGAATCACCTGTGTGTTACATTAGTACAGCTGTCAAACCCACCATGCCCTCTTTAGGGTCGTAGAAGCGCTGGATGAGCTGAATAGCCGTGCTTTTACCGGCTCCACTCGGACCCACAAAGGCTGTGGTCTCCGCCGACTTCACTGCAACACTGAGCTGGTCCAGGATCTGCGTACAGATCACACGATCACAGAAAATGTATTTTTTCTAAAAACCTAATTCTACCCTCAGTTATATGATAATGAGGAATACCTTGACATCCGGTCTGGAGGGGTAGTTGAAGGTCACATTGTGAAACTCAATATCTCCTTTCACCTTTTCCAGCTTATATCCAGCCTCAGAGAGACAATCAATCTCCGGTTCCTGTCAGCGACACATACAAAAAAGAAGTGACTTCCCTGTGAAAATACCTTGTCATTATATATATCTTGCACAATTTTAACAACAAGCTTTCTCACTCTCTCAATAGTCTCAAAGATGATGGTGGCAGCTCCACGTCCTGAAGCAAAAGCCTCCAGGCACGGGGAGGCCTGTCCCAGATTCAGGGCTGCTATCAGAACACCAAAGAACACCTGGAAGAAAGGTCAGCACATTAAAGCTCAACTAAATTACTCCATTGGTCACATGAAAACTGTAAAATGTTGTATGTAATTGTTTTTTCTGAGGTTTTGTCCATGGAAAAGCAAAGAAGAAACCCAAACATTAAAAGCAAAAAAAATGCTTTCATTAAAGGACCATAATCAGCATATTAGTTCATAAACATTATATATAATTTTAATTTCTCAACTTAGCCTTTCAAATCTAATTAGGAGTTACTTGAACTGACCTTTGATTTACTAGCAGTTCAATTCTTGTTCCCTGGATTTTGTGCATTTAATTTGAACTTATACCAAAATGAAAATCTGAATTCTGCTAATGGCCGAGTAAGATTTTCCCATACACGTAAATTTGACATGTAAACATTTTAATTAAAAAATAAATATCTTAAAAACAATTAAATCGTGATTTCCCCAGTGCTGCTCTGTCAGTTCTGGTTGTGATACCTGCAGTAGTGTTCCTGGTGTGTATTCTTCGGTGTCCAACACGAGGCTGGAGCCATACCAAAAGGCCAGCCCATAGCACAGAAATATGATCAGCCACATGTATCCAGTGAAGAACCCCATGATCAGACCCTTCCTGATGCCCCAGCGCTGCGCTGAGATCAGGTTCCTGTCGTACCTGTACAGCAGGAGAGATCACTTCAGCTGCATGTATAGATTTATAGGACAAAGTAAATTAACTTTCATCTGGAAAATCTTACCTCTGCACCTCCTTTGCCTCCCCACCAAAAGCAGCCACAGTCCTGATGGAGGTGAGGACCTCGTCTGCTACAGCTCCAGCTTTAGCGTAGGCCTGAAGCTCCATCCCCGTTAGCTTAGCTACAAACTAAAGGAAAAACACAGGGACGCATAGTTAATGGGTGAGAGGAAATTAGTGAGTCAAGGCAATTAAATGAAACAAGTAAAGACGGTTCTAGTCCACAACTCAAGTCAATGGAAGTGAAGCTGGGTCGTCAAGTCAAGAGAAGTCAAGTCAAGTCGACAAATAAAGACCAAGTCCATTCATTAGGTCAAGTCGCCAAGTCAATTTCAACAAGTCAGATCTTACCAGGGCCATGAGACCTGCTCCAACACCGATCAGTGGGCTCGCTGCCACAATAACTAGCGTTAACTTCCATCCCTTCACAAAGCCAACGCAGAAGCCACACACAAAGGTGGTGAAGCGCTGAAGGAAGATGGCGACTTGATCTGCAATGGCATCGTTGATCTTGTTGATGTCACTGTATGAGATGTATAACAACAGGTCAACAAAAAAACAAAACTCCATGAGATAGAAATCATGCCGTCACTGTCCCACTCACTCTGACATGCGGGTGTTGAGCTCCCCCACAGAGGTGCAGTCGAACCAGCCGATCTCCATCCTCATCACCTGTCTGAAGTACAGGTTCCTGATGAGCTGGATCTGCCTGGCAGCCGACCTCACCCACAGGGAGATCTATTGGAAAGAAAAGACAAACGATAGATTGTGAAAAACAGCAGGAACACAGGAAGGTATAAGAACTCTTGACCTCTTTTTTGACGGTTAAAGGGGAATTCTACATACAACTCGGCCTAAAAAACAGTCCTGTGGCTCTAAAGGAGCTCAAGTCGGACAGAATAACTCTGATGATGTCATAATGATGGCTCCAGGGTCTTGGCTTATGATTGGAAGCTACATTTTGGAAAAAGTCTGCATTTCATGTGGATTTGAAAAAATGTGGGCATGCTGGGTCAAATGTGGACAAGCTTCTATGGAGTTGCATTATGGGAAATGTTGTATCTAGCCTTTCTAACCCATACTAGGGACTAAAATCAGGATATTTCCAACCATCCTCAATGTAAACCTAGTATTTTTAAGTAAAATAAGTCCCTATACTGCAAAAATATATAAACCAATTAATGTATATGCTAAGAATTCTTGTTTTCCAGTCTGTCTGGTTATACGGTGTGACCATCTGTGTTGAATGCAGCACTGAGATCCAATATACTAAGACATTTATGAAAACAATTGTGATTGTTACTTAATGAGGTGTTTGGATTGTTAAGAAAGGCATAATAACTGAAGGGACTTTGGGAAACAGCTTCAGAGAATGATTTTCTGCTGAAATGCCAAGCAATTTTAAGAGAAAAGCTTGTAGGCATATCATCAAGGCAGCATGGAGCTATTCAGAGGGTTTACAGTTGATAGGATCAAGCTGTGCCATGCTGACTGAGTTTGTTTTTAAGTGCAAGGGTGACACAGACTAATCTCATTTTAGATTTGTCTCCTTGTATGAAAACAATGACAGTTTAAGACCAACCTGAAAGTATCCCAGCACGAACACCGCTGCTCCAATTCCAACGTAATACAAGGCAAAATTGGTCATCTCATATTCAATGTCGAGAATCCTGAAAGAAAGCATAAATGAGTGAATCATATATGAAGACAACAAATGATATACTTAACGATGGATCTTAACATATTATTATCACATTGCTGGCTATTTTCAACCTACTTACCCACATGGGATTGTTTTATTGTTCATTATAGCCCATTCTGACTGGTTCATGCCAGTGTGGTTCTTCCACTGGATGGTGTTGTTCACACACTCCTTCCTCTCGTCTTTCAGCTCGTTGAGCTCAACGTCGTATTCTATGAAGGTGTCGGTGAGCAGGCCGAACACCAGCAGCATGAGGGGCTGCGCCGAGCCGTGCAGCACCGCGCAGACGCTCCCCATCACCATCATCAGCACCTCGTTGCAGCTGGCGTAACGGAACTGGACAAGAAGGTGAGCACAACACTGGCATCAGCTCCATGGAGACGGATTACAACGTATTAAAAAGCTAAAGAAAGAGTATTTTACCAGCTGAAAGAAGCCGACCCGTATCGCCGGTTGCTCCTCCTTTCCATCATCTCTGTTGGAATAAAAGAATAGGTTTTATTATATAAGGTGAATGTATCCAAGGCCTCTATTGCTGTCTTTACTCACTTATCAGCCTTGGAAGTTGTGTTGTTCCTGCAAAGTAAAACACAGAACATACAGTTAGCCGCTTAAAGGGGCCCTATTTCAGGTTCATATCAGTATGTAGTGTCTCTACTGGGACATGTCTCCATGCTTTAATGTTCTAAACGCGCTTTATCACCTCTTTTCACCCTCTGTCTGAAACCAGAGCCCAGCCTGCTCTGTGTTTAATGTTAGGTTTACAAATGCAAATGAGGCATTAATCAGTACTTGCCTAGGGTACAAGTTGGAAATGCATGGATTAATCCAGGATGATAGATGGACAACTATTTCTACTTTCTAGGTTAATGGATCATGAGTTAACCATGGTGGATTCACTGTTACCTCTGTCACACTTCCTGAAGTTCACTGACACGTTTTAGATCCCAATGTTTCTATCAAGCCTCTGCATACACGCGCCGGCTGTCAGTAAGAATCAGAGGAGATTCTAAGACTTTACTGATGTTTTTAAGGCACATAAAGCCCCTAGCTACATCAATGACCTTTTGTCTTTTTAGAAAGCAGAAAGCAGCATTACATCCTTAGGCAAGGCCCTTTTTGTTTTTTGTTTGTTTTCCACGTGCCAGGTTCAACACTAAAGGTGAGTGCGCTTTCTCTTCCAGGAACAGAATGCCGGAGGAGATAAGGCCTGCACAATCAGTCTCGTGTCTTTGATCCCTTCTTATGCTTATATGTCAATCACTTCCTATGGATTGCCACATCACTGAGAGTTCTTCATTTTTAGCACATACTCTAAGTTTAATGTGTTTAGTTGTCCCTGTTAACCTCACATTACTTTTTATTTTATTTTGTTGTATGGAACGCACATTTTAAACTTAGTTTTTGAAAAGTGCCATTCAAATCTAAACTACTAATAGTTAAACTTATATTATTATTTGTTTGCCGACCCTTGCCTAAAGTACGCTTTCCCATTCTCCTGCTTCCTTTATATGGTTTGTTTATCTCTGCGGCTTTCACACCAGCGCTTTTCCCTTTCTAGCTCCGAGCTAGAGCTTTTCTGGTTCAGCTCCGGTTTCCCTTTTCTGCTCCCGCTCTGTTCACACCGCCCAGCGCCCGACTGGTGCTGCCGCTGCTGCGTCATGACGTCACCGTTTACATCGCTGATTTGCTCCCCAACGGTGTTACGGCGCTCACAACAACAACAACTGCGTCGGGTCGATGATCGTGTTGCTTTTAATCACACGAAGCCAGATTAAATTGAATAACGACTTCTCCAACCTTATACTTTTCTCCAGGGTGCCGTGGTTCATTGTTTATTAATGTGTTTCTGCAGCATTTACCGACCGCTGCAGTGTTGGCTGCTCTTCCACGGGAGTTTATTCTCCTCCGTTAGCTCCCGGTTAGCTCACATTGCAGCGGCCGCTCTAAAGTATTCACTGTCCGACTCACACAAGCAGCTGATACATATCCCCAGTTCCCCTTAGCCTAAGTGAATGTGTGTCAGTCTGAATTGACGCTGTTTGGCATCACAACGCTGTTATGAAAGTTTCTCTGGTATAAAATGGGTGATGTTAGCATAGCAACCGAAGCTAAACTGACTACTTGCTATTGCTATCCTATTGTGGCATAAACCGTTTTCTACAGGCACATTTTACCGGCGTATTTTTATTATGATTCTACTTGTGATAGTTGGACACGACAACCTGTGCAGCCCATGTATTGATTCCATCCGATAGCTGCTATAATACAAAACAAAACGTCTGCCTCTCTCCACAATGATCAATAACAGTGAACGGATGGTCAAAGTAAGGTACACATAAGCAGAATCACACGAAGCCTGGTTAGTGTTGCCTGACTTTATAAAGTGTGTTTATAAGCACTACTGCTTGTAGGCAGGCATGACAGTCGACCCATGTTCAGGGGAGGTGGGTTTAGTTTCCTGCACGCCTAGACGTAAGAGAGACGTAAGCGACGCCACCTCTTAGCTCCGAAGCTCTTGCCTCTAGACCGACAATTTTTTGGAGCTGGAAGTGAACCGGATTCCGAAGCTAAGAGCCGGCGCCGCTGCGGTGTGAACAGGAAAAACCGGCGCTTTTCAGGCTCCAGCTCCGAGCCGGAGCTGAAAAAGCGCTGGTGTGAAAGGGGCATTTGAGTCCTCCCTTTGTTCCTTAAATGTGTCATCCATTGTGTTCAGTGGCCCTGAAAGCACAAGTCTCTGCAAATAAAGAATACAAAATAAACTCTAAATAGTCTTTAATTATACATCACCTAATCTGATCTTCGGTTTTATTTTTTCACAAAATGATAAATCACATATTAATCACCTGATTGATACATGATGAAAATGTCCTATCTTGCATTCAGTCATGATGTCGAATGCAAAGAATGCATTATTTACAACTGTGTTTGGACCCTAATTATTATTCTTTAATGATGCAGCAGTGCTGTTGACGACTCACTTCGACACGAGTGCAAGAGGTCATTGACCTCCAGAGAGATGTGTGTTTTCTAGGTACCACATTTATTGTGAAGCGCGTGACAAAAGTATACATCAAACATTAGGATTATTACTTTTATTCAATCATTTATAAATCATAAGAAATCCTAAAATAGTCCAAAGAATACGTACGCATAGGAGCCAGCTGATTCTGAAACAAAAGAATAAAATAAGCGTTTTTAAAAAATTGTATCTGTAGATGTATCTCGTATCCATCATTCTTTATTCAAATAAAATACGGAATTATTGTATTGATTTTGGGGCATTTCTACGGTGGACGACATGCAATTGCATTAAAACGGCCCAACAAAATGTCCATCAGGAGAACAAGCTGCAGTTTCTATGGCAATATAAAAATGGTGCCAAAACACATGCAAATAAAGACACATCTTCACCTACTCATCGAAACATACACAGCGTTTACTAAAAACGCTGCAAGAAGCTCAAAACACGACGGAAAGGTGATGCTCACTTATTTATTTGCATTGTTTTTGAAAGTGCAGCGCTTTTCTCCTAGTGGAAGTGTTTCAGGCCGCTGCAGCGCGTTTACATCTGTCGGCCACCGTTCATTTGCGTTCCATGAAGCATCTCCCTGTCATCTTACCTTCTTCTTCATAGCTGTTGTTCTCCTGTCCCAGTTTTTTAATGCTGTGCAATTTCACTGATCCAGACGGCATGATGGCTCATCTAGAAAAAGCAAATCCGAGGAGCCCAAAAACTGAATAATTTGATTTTAAGCAGACATCTGCTTTCAAGGGGAAAGAAAACTAGTTTCTAACAGCTTTATATTGTGGATAATGAATGACCATGTAATGTTTTCATTTTCATTGATTTGTATTCTATTTTCTAGCACACCTTACCTTGACTTTCTTTTACTCGCGTTCCGAAAACATTTACAAAGTTAATTCATTTAATTTGAACTTTAGAAGCAAACTAATTTAGTCCTGGTAAAATGTTTTGATTTTAACTGCTTTCACAAATAAGAAAAATAGACTCACCTACACGTTTCCTTTTGATGAGAAATCTATGTTTGTTATCCTTGATCGAAGCTAATCATGAGCTCTAACAAAAGGAGTCAAATCAAATCAAGTCGCAGCCTTCCTTCACTTTAGTCCAGACATCCAGTTGTTTGTCCTCCGGCTAGTTGTAGTCGCTTGTCACAACACACTGAGTCTTGGCTGGGACTCGCATGCTCTTATTGGACAGAGCTGGCAGCGGCTCAGGGTCAGAGTGTTTGGTTTGAGGGTAAGTGTCCTGTTGGTTCATGCGGCTCAAAAGGCTGATGACCCCGCTGTGCAAATATTTTACCTGCAGAGGCCCTGCACTGTTTCTGCATCCTCTGAACGTGACTGATGGACTCACACAGGGGAGGGCTTTAAGGGGGGAGCCAATGGATATCACTGTTACACATAAGACCAAGTTATCTGCTGCTTCAGGTGCAAATACGACAATTAGGCCCCATGCCAATTTGCATACATTTATAGAACAGGACACGAGGCCATGTTCAAAATTCTTGGTTAATTTGTGTGACATATCTCTCCATCAATCAGAAAATTCTGTCAACATCCGGTGAGTAAATACATGTTTGCTATGTTTTAAGGAATAACTTGTGATATAAATCAGATTATGAACAATATATGAACAAGGCACTCTATCAAAACCTTCAGAATATGGATAGAAATAAAACTAAAAGTGTGGTGTATGTACGAGCTACTGAAGTAGAGATTCTGTTAGGGCTGGGTCAAAAGTTCAGGACCTACAATGGCAGAGACCAGATGGATTCAATCTTTTAACAAAGTTTAATAAAGGAAAAAAGGAGCAATTAAAAAACAATCCACAAAATGAAGGATGAGGGATGTACCTTGAGAGCAGGAGGAAGGCTAAGGCGGACGACACTGGGATTTATGACACGTTCGATTGCATATGGACCAATATATCTTGGGGCCAACTTGCGCGACTCAATCTGGAGCGGCAGGTCACGAGCAGATAACAGACCCTTTGGCCGACCTGGTAGTCTGGAGCGTGGGTTCGGTGGCGATTTACCAGCCTCTGGTTACGGGCAGCAGTCCGGGTGAGGGCTGCTCGGGCTTCCCGCCAGACTCGGCGGGCACGACGGTGATGGGCCTGGACTGAGGGAACAGTCACTTCCGTCTCCTGGCTGGGGAACAATGGGGGCTGGAAGCCGTTAGAGACCATAAAAGGGGACATACCTGTGGCCGAACTGACCAGGGAGTTATGGGCGTATTCCACCCATGCCAAGTGCGAAGACCAGGAGGCGGGGAGGCGGGGAGATGGGCAGCGACACAACGTAAGGCTGCCTCCAGGTTCTGGTTGGCCCGCTCTGCCTGGCCGTTAGTTTGTGGATGGTAACCCGAGGAGAGACTTGCAGTGGCCCCCAGTGCCTGACAGAATGCCTTCCAAACCCGGGAAGCAAACTGGGGACCCCGATCTGAGACAATGTCGTGGGGAATGCCGTGAAGCCTAAAAACATGGGACACAAGGAGGTCTGCCGTCTCCAGAGCAGAGGGCAGCTTGGTCAGGGGGACATAATGGACAGACTTGGAGAAACGATCAACAATGGTGAGGATGGTTGTATTACCTTCTGACGGAGGAAGTCCTGTAACGAAATCCACAGCAATGTGCGACCAAGGGCGGTTAGGTATGGGTAAAGGGCGTAGGAGGCCAGCTGGAGCACGGTGAGAGGATTTACTGCGGGCACAGACAGAGCAGGCAGAGACAAAAGCCCTGGTGTCAGCAGACATGGTCGGCCACCAAAACGTTTGCTGGATTAGGGTCAAAGTTCTGTGAAAACCTGGGTGACAGGCAACTTTAGAAGAGTGCCCCCACTGGAGCACTGGAGATCTCACGGAGGAAGATACGAACAGCCGATCGGGAGGACAGGCCGCTGGGGCAGGATGTTCCCG